TGCATTTTCAATTGGCTGACTGTGCAGAAACATGTTAGGACTGTGTGGTATTGTTTGCTTATGTTTGCTTTAGTTGATTGTCTTTGATGTCATATTTTAAAAAGTATTTCCAAAAACAATATCATAGATATCTTCTCCCAGAGATGTTATGATTTGGGGTCTCTCGTTAACTCTAGTATATTTCTAATTGATTTTTTTTTTTAGTGTAAGTAAGTGACTACCTCTTTTTTGCATGCAGATTTCCAATTGGCCCTAAATTGTTTGCTGCAAAGTATCCTTCCCCTAATATTTTTGAAAGTCGATTGATGACCTATATGTGGATTCCTACTTATTCTCTCTCAGTGGTCTAGGTGTCTATTCATGCCACTACTACAGTTATGATTACAAAGTTTTGCAATAATTCCTCCTACATTAAAGTGTAATAGTATATTCTTACATATTAATGTTAAATTATTGGTAGTGATACTTGATATGTACTCATTGATCTTTTTATAAATTGACCAGCTCATATTTCCATACCAATGAAATAGTTGACCTTTGTTTTCAGATTGATTGTTTGCATGAAACACCTAGTTTTATTTTACAGTGTATGGAGTTTTTTCTTCCAAAGATTTATTTATTTTTTATTAGAAATGCGGATATACAGAGAGGAGGAGAGACAGAGAGGAAGATATTCCGACAGAGGGTTTACTCCCCAAGTGGCCACAACGGCTGGAGCTGAGCCAATCTGAAGCCAGGAGCCAGGAGCTCCTCTGGGTCTCCCACACAGGTGCAGTGTCCCAAGGTTTTGGGCTGTCCTCGACTGTTGTCCCAGGCCACAGACAGGGAGCTGGTTGGGAAGCAGGGCTGCTGGGATTAGAACTGGTGCCAATATGGGATCCTGTCGCGTGCAAGATGAGGACTTTAACCACTACTTATGACGCCGGGCCCACAGTGTATTGAGTTTTATAAGGAATGGAGATTGTATTTCATAAAGTAAGTTTTAAAACAATTCAAATTTATTTTTTATGGATATGAGAAATTATTACACTTTCTGGTAATAAATCATCATTGTTTCCTTTGAATATGATCATCTTGGTTACAGTGTTCTGTACATTAAATTGCTAAATTTTTAAAAAAGAGTGAGTGACAGTGAGAAACAGAGCACGAAGAAAGAGTTCTTAAGTGCCCTATATTTTCTCCATATAATTGCAAAAGTGGTGATAGTTCAGGCCAATGCCAAAAGCTCAAAGATAGAGCAGGGTCTCCAACATGCCTGGCAGATGCTCATCTACTTGTCCGTCTCTGCTCCTCTCCAAGGTACATTAAAAGGAAAATGAGTCTCAAAAGTGGAACAACCAGGAATCAGTCCCGGTGGTCCACTGTTGCAGGTGAAACTTAGCCTAGTGCACCACAATGCCAACCCCTAGTTTGTTTGATTTGGTTTTGCATTTCCATAATATAAAATGAGTGACATTATTTTCTCTTAATTTTTTGTTTCAACTAATTTATGTATAGCAGTTTAGTAAAATTGATAATTTTTCTTTATTATCCTTTGAAAAAGTTAGCATAGTAATATAAATATCTGTTTATTAAAAATATTGCAGACCTCAACTGTGAAAAGAATTTGTTTAATCAATTTATTTGAATTGCTTATTTCATAGTGATATTCATTTTCTCTCAATTTTATATCTTCATTCCAACTTCTATCACTTCTTTAGTATCTAACATTTATAGTCTTCTAGCAAAACAATGAAATAAAAGTGTCAATATTTATGTCTGATAATGGAAAACATTTTTCTTTTTTTTTTCTTTTAAATAGGCCCTTTTGGCTAGTACCATTTGTTTTGAATTGATTCATTCCCTTCTGTTTGATAGTAGGATTTCCATACTGCATTCTTCCCTCTCTCTTTCTTTTTTTCCTTTACAATTTCATTGCATCTGTGTGCCAGATCTTGGTTCCCCCTTTAATGTTTCACCTTACAGTGCAATTTTGGCTCAGGCATGTCATTTCAAATTAACTTCAAGCTATATAATTTTACCCATTTTATTGATGTAAAGAACATGCACATAGTTGGAACGTTACAGCTCTATTATCACAAAGTGAATTCATCCATGCAAGCATCGTCCAGGTCAGAAACAGAACAATCCCAGATATTCCTTTTGTTCATGTCTCCTCTGCCTGCTCAAATGTGTTGTTATTCTGAGTTTTAGCATTGTGTTTGGTATGATACAGTTTGGTGCTTTCACACATAAAATTATGAATTTTTGCATGTTTTATTCTTCTAAACTGAACTACGTGTGTGAATAAACCACTGAGTTGCACAGTGGTACATCCCTTTTATTCATTCTCTATTATTTCTCATTATTTTGATATTCCATTGAGTGATGTGATAATAAACCATTTAGATACCCTGTTATTGGTTGGCAGTTGGTTCCACTTTGGAAATATTATAACACCCCAATGAACAACCGATCACGTGTTTGCTGATACATGTAATTAGATGCTGTATACAGAAAATGATAATTTAATGGATACAGTTATTTTCCAAAAGCGTGGTGCTAATTCATATCTCTATCAGCAGTGTTAGTAAAGTTTAAATATGTACTTCCCTGATTTCTAATGAAACAATGCTTTTTAATAACTATATATATAACTATATATATAAACCTTTTTGTGTTTTCAAGTATAAATTTGCTCATGTATTTCCCACTTTTTGTATTAATATGCAGATATGAATGCAAATATTTTGTCACATATATGTATTATGTATAGTAACATAATGTAAACATCCACACACACATATATATATATGACAAAATATATATGCCTTTATAAACCAGAGTCACAGATAGCAAGGTCAGATAGCAAGGTCACAGCAAGGGCTAGATACAGAAATGTCTTCTATTCCCCAGATGGCCATGACAGACAGAGATGGCCAAAGCCTGGAACTCCATCTGGGAGTGAAGGGCCCAAGTCATTGCACCATCGAGTGCAACTTTTCTTGGAGCATTAACAAGGAGCTGGTTTGAAAGTGGAACAATGGAGTTTGAACCAGCACTTGTATGTGATGCTGATACTGCTGGCACAGAATTCACAAGCTGTACAACAATATACATTTAAAATTATAAAAGAAACAGTAGGAGATTAAAGCTCAGATAATGTGAGTGAAGAAAAAATAAATTGGGTTGTCAATTATTACAGCACAGAAACAAGTAGGGTACACAACTCAGACAATTCTCTTTTTTAAAAAGAATTTTGATCCAAGGACTTAGTTGACAGAATTCTAATTACCCTCAGTTTTTTTCTTAGTATATACTGTGTGTGGTATTTAAAATCTGAAGAGGAATATAAAAAAAATTGACCATGAAAAGTAAGGTAAGGTGTCATGTCACAGTAGTGCCTTAAAAGGTGATGTTTTCTTCGAGTGGTTGATGGTTTCACCATATTTGGCCAGCAATAAGTTCTCTGCCTTTTTGATATTTCTGTAGTTATTTTTAAATGCTAGATACAACTGATAGAGGCTTAAGGGACAGAATAAAAAGAGACTTGAGAATATAATTCTCAAAACTGTAAGTGGGTGAAGTCCTGGAGAGAAATGAGAAAAAGTGTAGAGCTTTAGGGTGAAAGTAAACAAACAAAAAAAATAGACGTTATAAAAAGTAGCTTTAGAAGTGTTTGGCTAGGAAAGGTTTTGTGGTGAATCAGATCAAGTGCTGCTTGGTAATCCTGAATGCATATGACAGCACCCAAGTTCAAATTCTAACTGTGCTTCTTGTCCAGTTTTGTTCTAATTCAAGACTTAGGTGGCAGGGCATCATGGCTCACATATTAGTCTCTGCCATGTGGGAGACCCAGAGGAGCTCCTGACTCTTGGCTTTAGCATGGTCCAGTCATGGACGTTGAAGGCACTTGGGGTAGAGCCAGTGTTGATAAAAGATTTTGCTTCTTATGTAGTTTTTTCCCTCTCTATCTCTCTTCCTCCCGTTCTTTCCCCTTTCTCACCCCAAGTTTCAAATAGATAAAACTTTTAAAGATTGTAAGGGTGAAGCAATAATTTCAAAGCTAGAATTTTGTAAGAAATAAGAATGGGCAATGCTGTGTAATAGCAGGTTCAGCCACAGCCTGCAGTACCAGCACCCAATAGGGACAATGGTTCAAGTTCTGGTTTCTTCATTTTTTGATGATGGGCTTGGGTTGATGATACTTGATGATGGGCTTGATGGGCTTGGGTTGATGGGCTTGGGTTGATGGGCTTGATGGGCTTGGGTTGATGGGCTTGGGTTGATGAGACTTTGATGATGGGCTTGGCTGATGATACTGGATGGTCCAAAGCCTTAGGGCCCTGCAATAGCATGTGGGACCTGGAGGAAGCTCTGAACTGGTGGCTGCATCCTGGCATAGCCCTGGCTACTGAAGGGATTTGGGGAATGAAGCAACAGATGGAAGCTTGCTCGCTCACTCTCTCTGTCTCTCCTCTCCATGTAACTCTGCCTTTAAGATAAATAAAAATAAATCTTAAAAAAAAATGGGTAAGAACAAGACAGAAAATATGCAAGTTGACCTTCAGGCAGAATCACAAATCCTTGAAACTAAGCTAGAGATGGTAATAAGGGGTAATTTAATCTGTGTTGAATACCAACATTTGTGTACTTCACTTTTCTCTAAAATTCTATTGTTGGATGCAATTAACTTATCACAGATCATTTATACAGTTGAGTAATTCAAGGAGTAACAGTTATAGCTACTATAATTTATTCAACATAATTGCTTGATATTATATATTTTGTTTAATATTTGATTCAATAAATTAAGTACTATATCTGTTTTATAGGTGACCAGGTGAGTTTAGAAAGTCTAATTCAAACTATTTGCATTACTATATACTAAGTGGCTGGATATACCTAGTTGCTTGATTTTGGAAAATGGTCTATGTTCTTGCTATGATAATGACGTATTTAAGAAAATTAACATCCCTTTATGGACCTTTTTTGAATCTCCTTTACTATTTTATTAACAGGCATTATTTCCTCAAGAGGGAACAACTCTTGGAAACTAAGAGAAGAAAGGACATTCTCCAACAGTGACTTTTTTTCCCCCTGATCTTATTTACACCTTAATATTGTGATACAGTATTTGAGAATTAACAGGAAAGTCACAATAGACATGAGAAACCACCAAATAGTATTTGTTTAAAATTATCCATTGTCCATTAAACATAGCCAAAAGAATAATAATTACTAAACATCAAAGTGAACTGTTTTTAAAAAGAACTCTGCCTTGCCTTAAGACTACTTTTCCCAACTGATCACAGTACATTCATTAACATAGGAATGTACGGGTGAAAAACTAAATCAACTCACTAACCAACCTGTAACCAAAATGCAATCCCATAGCAGGCACCTTGCAGTACCTTCATTAGATACCAGTAAGAAAGTTCACAACTGTTCAATATTGTCTTCTTCCAAGCCTCAGGTCACAGTTTCAGAAGGCTTCTATAACAGGGCTATGAGATCTCCATTACCCCACTCTAAGTATCAACCCACACCTGCACTAGACCTCCTTTGGAGAAGTCCACTACGGCCTACTTCTAGAGCCCTCCACTCACATTTATCCCACCTCAAACCTCAAACAAATCCATCAGACCTCAATGAGACTTCGTCAGCACTGCAGCTCAGTCAAACAGCCCTAGACTCACCTCTCCCAAAATTTCAAACCGCATCTTCAAATCCAGACCTTTGTTCAACATCACCTTCACTGAAGTCTAACCAGAGAGATTCTAGCTCTCAGTTATCTCACCTCAAAAATCAGGAATCATCCTCCTTTAATAATGCCTGGACATCATCTCTCTTGGGACCCAACCAAAGAGCATTTAGCTCAACATTACTTGAGTCTAAATCTCAGAAAACTTCATTAGAACGCATTTGGACATCTTTAATGGAACGCAATCAAAGATCTTTGAGCTCACCAGTACTTGGCATCAAATCCCAATCAAATGAATATTTTCAAACTTCTCCTTCCTTGGAGACTAATCAAATGTCACCTGACTCCAGATCTCCCCAAAAAACTGTATTGGTTTCTAGTCGCAATGATCTGAGTCTACCACTGTCCAATTCAAATTTAAGAAAACCACTGTTATCACATTCCATCCACCAGTGTCAGAGTTTGCCTTTGTTCCAGTCCAAATCCCCGTCAACAGCTACCCTAGATCCTTACTTCCGGACACGCAGCTCACCGCATTTTCTCTCAAAATTTCAGGATACTGCTGTACCAAGTGACAAATCCATAGCCACAGATCAGCCTTCAACCCCTGTCAAGTCAAATGTCTCAGGCCATTTATCCTCAAGCTCCAAATATTGCATCAAGAACATATCTGCTTCAGCACTGAGTTACAGACTCCAGAGTAAAAGCAGTTTTGATTTTGATGCAAATTCAGAATCAAAGAAAGAAATCCTGTGGACTATAGACTGTAGTCAGCCCTGCATTGTTAAAGGTGGACCTGTCCCTGATGATGTTGTAAATAAAATTATCAATTCTATCTCCAAGTCCACAATCCAGAGGGATCTTTGTAGGCAGATTCTGTTTCGAAGGATGAGAGGAAAGCCAAATCCTCGTCCTGGCCCCCGCCTTTCAACGACTTACATGGTTTGTTTAGCTTGTGCTTCCTGCATAAAAACTCAGTGTGAACATCTTAGAGGAAAGAAAGATCCACGTTGTGCAACACTCTTCGTCATACCAACACCAGAGACTACTTCTGAGGGGAAAATAGAGGTGAAACTCGTTTTTATTCTTTCTATACCAGAGACTCACTTATCCTCTGGTCTCTCATTCATTATGAAAGGAAGTCAGACCGATGAAGTACCTGACGACAACCTAGAAGGAATGGAGAAAATACAACAGATTTTCCCCACGTCTGAATCTGATATCATCCAGGACCTTAATATGAAGAAAAAATGTTTGACAGTAGCCCTTGAAAACAAAGTTACAAACCAACAGTCTCCGGCTGTAGACTGGCTCTTTTATGTTAAGAAAAGTAGTTCTCAGCCACAATCCCAGCTCCCACGACCTTCTTCCTCCTCCTCCTCCTCTTCTTCCTCCTCAGCTTCTTCCCCATCTTCTTTAGCCTCTTCTTCATCTTCTTCATCTTCTTCCTCTTCTGCCTTGCCCCTATCAGCTGTTCCTTCCTTGCATTCCATCAAACCTGCTAGTTCAAGTTGTAAACTCACTAAAGTGCTTAGTTATCACCGGTTGCCTCCAGGGGTCTCTTGGCTTGAGTTTATACGTAGTAGAGATCACCAACCACACCTTGGAAAACGAAATCAAAATCAATCACCATTTCCCCCCAAAAAATCTGTGAGGCATAGCACCAAGTCCAAAAGGAAAAAGGAATCAAACGTGCTACTCAAATTTCTCCATACAAAGTTTCAAAATGAGAAATCCTGATTAAACTAACTTTTGTGTCTTTGCAAGCAATACTTCTTGGTTCTTTGAAATTAATGTTTTACTTCTTCCCGTGTTTATTAATATTCTTAGAATCATTGAGTGAGGTGCTGAATTTTAGTTAGTGACACACCCATTAATAATGAACTGTTAGCCTCAAGTCTGTTTTCTGGTTAAATAGTTTATGATCTCCTAGAAGTCAAAAGCTGAATTTCATGTTTTTAACTGAATGGCTGGGTCATGGTCACCATTATGCAATTATTATTGAATGAATTCGTAGTTGACCACAAACCAGAAATATTCACCTGTCTTGCCCTGAGCAGTATTCAGTTCATTGTCATTCTCCTTCCTTATAAAACATGATGATGAAAGTATCATTTACCCAATTTATGCTAGAAAATTTTCTTATTTCTAAAGAAAATTCAAGTGCTTTCACCATACAAAGGGATATTTTCAATTAGGTTTTCCAAGGGGAAATTCTTCTATTCAGTGATTTATTCAGGCTTAGTTGATAGATCTGAGGAAGGAATATTCAGCTAGTATAAACAATACAATTTCATGCTAATTATGCTCATATTTCAGGTAAGAACTTCAAAGTCACCTGTTCATCATTCCTATCTATATAAGCAAATGGGATAATAAAATTATTCAAAAGTAATGCTGCTCTTCCACTTAGTCCAGTGGTAGTGAGAAGAGAATTGAATTGTCTTATTCGTTGACTTCATGGAATCATTTTTTTCCACAAGGATAGAACTAGCATCTCTTACTTAGGCTAATGACTCACAGTCCTACTTTACCACCACACCTCCTTCTGGAAAATTTCAGCTGGAACATAGCTAAGGGATCTCATACTTCCCAGCAAGACGGAGTCAGATTTAATCATTTTTACGTTTACAACTTACATCTTTCCATCATTGCCCTTTGCCCACTCTACTGCCTGTAGCAGTGGATAATTACCACCCATCACATGGTTATGTTTGACTGTTTTTCCTCATTGCTTTCTTGTTTCCAAGCCAATGATTTCTATAGCCCTGTTATAAAGGATCACTTTTAATAATTTATTCATCTGCCATTGTGGGCAAAAATTAACTGCCCTTTATGAATGAATTCTTATGACCTATTAAAACACAAAGCTCTTATCTTCCTCTACTCTTCTGCTGACTATTTTAACCACACTGCTTCTTTGCAATGGATAGAATGTGCAATGGTCTGACTTATATTCGACATTGAAATAATCAGTTTTGTTGTCATTCTAATTTTTCTATTTTGTCTTGATGATTTATGGGAAGCTTTTCCTTGATCCACACCTAAAGTTATGACCCTAAAACCTCATCGTTACTCGTTGTATTCATCTGAACCAGTTATGTTTTTACCATTTCTTACCTGTGCTCATTCACTAGGTTGAAACTATTTGTTCAGCATTTTATCCCTGCTTTTCCACCCATATCTTGGAACACAGTAAATGCCGTAAAACATGCTTTGATATTGAACTACTGCTATTGAAGGGCTTTCTCTCCCACTATTCTCTGAAACAAGTGATGTTTTATTGTGCTGTTTTTCCCTCTTAAGATTTTTAAAAATAATATATTTATTTTATCTTTGATGATGCGTACGTAGTTGGCCCATGTGGACCACAAAATTAGGGTTGGGGAATATCGAGGAAAAGGAGAAAGTGGATGAGACAACTGCCTTCAATCTTTTTTTTTTTTTTTAAACTCCCCAGTATCTGGAAAGGAAGGAGAGAGGAGAGCAGAGGACTGCTCCCAGACACACCACTATATCAGTATCCAGGAATGGGGGAAAGCCACTAGATGTCTTGCCAGGATGCCCCTTGTGGAGCTTGTTCTAGGGATACTGCTCAAGTTTTTTAGATAGTTCTGTGATGCTGTTGATTTCGCTGCTCCAAGGTTGAGGAAACCATCCAAGGTCATTGGACTATGTAGTCCACTATGGAGTCTTCATTTGCCCAGTACTTGTCTGGAAGAGCTGTCCAAGTTGTTCTGCCCTCCACGGTACTAGATGTATTCTGCAGGTATCAACGAACTGGTTGTCATGTCCCCCATAGACATCTAGACATGCTATCCTCTGCACAGGCCTTGGGAGACCTGTTTCTGACACATGGACTGCATGATCAAACTACAGATCCTGATTTTCCCCATGTTGGAGTTCTGAGTCCAATGGTCCAGTTGGTGGGGATCCCCAAGGAAACCCCACCAGAGGAGACCTCAACCTGCTTCTTGTTTGTGCCAGTCATTGTGGGGTCTGGCCCAGTCTATCACATTAGCCTATGAGCACACTGATGGTTACAGTCACCTGATCAGTTTAATCACCAGTCTCATCTCATACGCAAACCAATGGATGTTGCAACACAGCATAACCCTGCCCACCACACACTCTGGCCTCATGCACACCAGAGGTAAATGCAGCCTAGTTGAAACAATCCCCAACAACTTTCACTAGACCTGCACCAGCCCTGGTTCCAGTGAGGCATACTGGTTCACATTCTGTCCCACAATCCATTCAGCTCTTGTACACATCAGTGAGCATTGGAGCCTAGCTCACCCCAATCGACCCCACTATCCAGGTCACACTCATGCTAGTGAGTACTACCTCCTCCCTAGCCAGGCCTGCCCCCAGCGCTGGTATTCATGCTCAGCAGTGGGAGTTGCAGTTCATCAGCAAGATGCCCGCCTTTTTCCCTAACAAGCCCACTCTAATTCCTGGATATTGAACTTTTCAGGTGATTCTATTGTCCAGTCTGACAAGACTTGTCCGTAGTCCCAACATTTGCTAGCTGATGCTGCGGCAAACCCAAATCATTCTGAACTTACTGTGACTCATGCATGTACCAGTGGATGCAGTCACTTAGCCCAGCCTAGCTCTCCTCCTAACCAGGCTCACATGTAGGCCCGGTGAGTGTTGTAATCTTTCCTAGCCTGCTATGCCCCCTCACTCCCGCCCAGTCTTGCTCTCATACTCCCAGCAGGAGCAGTGTCCCACCAGGGGTGCCCCTACCACTCACCCCCCATTGCAGGTTTTACATGTGCTGGTGGGAGCTGTGGCCCAGATTGGCATGGCTTGCCTCTCCTTTGCATCGATTAAGGGGATACTTCAGCCTGGTTCGGCCCAGGCTACCTCCAGGTTCAGTTTATGCTGGTAGGTGCTTAACAGCCTAGCCAGCACCCAGTCCCAGCCCTAATGTGAACTGGCTGGCATTATGGCCCAACCAGGCTTATTCTGAATCCCATCCTATTTTTTTCATCTGCCAGTGCGTGATGTGACCTGGCCCAGGCTGACCCATCCCCACACCTGACCTACATTTATGCCAGTGGGTACTGTAACCTAACTTGACCTGTGCTGCTCCTAGCCTTGGTTCCTGCATGCAGCTGCAAGAACTGCATCCTGACATGGGAATTCTCCAAGCTCATGTGTCGGGTCACTTCTCAGTTGCAGATCTTGCCCATACCAGTGGGTCCTTGGCCCAGCCTGACTTAGCCCATCTTCTGTCCAGGCAGGAATAGTGATCTGGCCCAACTGGTCCAACTTGATTCTTTCTCTTACTGTTGGGTATTATAGTCTAGCCACTCCCGGTCCACTTCCAGACTTAGCTCTCATGTGGTTCAGCAGGTACAGAGATCTTGCCTAGCCAGTCTTTCACCCACTCTGGCTCCTGTGAGCACTGATGGGTATTGGAGTCTAACCAAGCCTGGTATACTCCAGACCCAGTCCACACCCATGCTGAGGATGCTGCAGCCATGTCCAGCCAAGTTGGCCACCACATTGTAGCTGCCATGCTCAGTATTAGGAACTGCAGCACAGCAGAGACTTCCTTAGCTCCCAAACAAGCTCACTCCAAGTCACAGATCTTGCACATGCCAATGGTTGCTCTGACTCAGCCCAGCATAACCAGTCAACCAACCTGGCATTTGCCATCAGATGTTTTTGCCAGATCTGTCCTGTCCCACCCCTAGTCTTAACTCTCATTTATGGGTGCTATAGACTAGCCCTGCCCAGTCAGCTTCCATTCCTGGCTTTCATACAAACCAGTAGATATGACAGCCTAGGCTAGCTCAGCATCAACCACCTACCACACTGGTTCCTGCACATACCAGTGTGCTATTTGAGCCTGTCCATGCCCGCCCTGCCCAATACCGAGCCAACCCAAAAACATGCCTACAAATGAAGCAGTTTTGCCTGGCCTGACCAATAATCAACCCTGATTCACACGCTCACCAGCAGGAGCAATAGCCCAACAGGGGAGTTCCCAACGTTCCCCCCCCATGCTCTCTCCCAGACCCAGATCTCCCGTGTGCTTGTGGGTGCCAGGCCTTTACCAGGCAGTCTGACCCACCCAGTGTCAGTGATTTGTGTGTGTGGGTGGATGTTGTGGCCCAGCCCACCTCACAACTATTTCTTGGGGGTGTCTGTGGGTGCTGCATTCTGGACCAACCCATCCAGTTCCCAACCCCAGTACCAGTGAGCGTTGTTGAGTTCCATCATCGTTCCTAGCTCAGTCTATCACCATCCAAGCCCTCAAGCAAACCTACTGGTCCCACAAGGGTAAGCCCATGGTCCCCCAATGAATCTGCTCCAAGACCCAGTTCTCTTGTGAGCTGGTTAACATCATGATCCTGCCTGACATGTTCCACCCACTGCCCTAATACTCACTGATGGATACAGTGCTCAAACCTGTGATACAGCCCCACCCCCCAGCCATGACTTTGTGGGCATGAGTAGGTGGTGGTTGATAGTAATAATTCCAGCTTAGGTCTCCCACATGTGCAAGTATGTTGCTTTGGCCCCAAAAGTTCCTCTGATTTTTCTTCTCTAAATCAACTGGACTCATACCCCTCATTAATTTGCAAGTGCATTAACCAGTTTGGTGCAATCCCCCAGAAGTCGCTCCTCACCTGTCACGTTCTCCCTCAGCAGTCCTCCCTCCCACACATCTCAAAACATACTTCCCTGAGCAACCCACAGACGCCCACACCTGCAAGTATGTATAATCCAGGCCTCTGACGATGT